CTGCCCTCTAGTGAATGTCTGAATTTTTGCAGACCGGATTTGATAGATTTATAGGATCGAGGCAATGCTACAATCGCTGTACTGCAAGACGAGGCCCCGGAAATTGGTCAGCCAGAAAGGAATCACTATCAGATGAGCTAATTTGAATTTATTGTAAAGCTACATTGACAGAGTCTTGCAAACTACAAATAACCCACCCACCCCGCCCCAATCTAGGGAGGATCTCTTCTGAGCCTCTTGCCCCATCCCACTTTCCAGTTGCGGGCTATGCTGTCTCTAATCTGACTGCTCCCTTTGTCGTATCCCTTCGCCCAGTCTCCCAAGGTCTTTCCCACATACCATTACAAAACCTTTGTGAAGCCAGAAAAGAGAGATTTGTAGCATTTCCTCAATAAGCGACAGCATATAAAGATGGCACCAAGAAGTGTTGGACTGTGCCGTTGTAACTTTGAACAGTCACGAAGCGAACTGTTGTAAGTCGAGGACTACCTGTACTTCATCACTTTTTTCCTTTTGGGGGGGGTCATCAAGTTTTTGACACCTTGCTAGGTGACTGGTGGTACTCGGATGTTGCCATATCCTAAGAGTGGTACAGTGGGTGAAAAGGTTGAAAAGCCCTGATCTATCTGCCCACCCCACGTTAGAGGAACAAGTGCTATGGAGTCCCAAAGGTGCATTTTCAAATGGCAACTTGGACTGTGTTGTTCCTTGAAGACGTTTCGCTTCTCATATCCAAGAAGCTTCTTCAGTTCTGATTCGGAACTGAAGAAAGCTTCTTGAATGAGAAGCGAAACTTCTTCAAGGAACACCACAGTCCAAGTTGCCTTTTGAAAAAGCACCTTTGGCACAAGCATGACTTGAATGACTGAGAATCTCCAGAGACCGCTATGGACAAAAGGCAAGATATAACTTTCATTTGAAACATGTAGTTTCATTGTGCTATTTTCATTCTGAGCCTAAATTTTGGGTCTTCTAGTTCTGATCTCTTCTCTCTCTCTCTCTCTTTTTTTTTTGGCAGACATACGCTGCCCGGGGCAGACAGACTTTGAAAATGGCTTTTTCGCCCCACGACGAACTTTCCACCCCATTGGTGACATCCTGAGTTTTCAGTGTTCTGATGGGTACCAGCTTCTTGGCTCTTCCCAGCGATACTGCCAGCCCAACGGTCTGTGGAATGGGACCGCTCCTGTTTGTGATGATGGAGGTAAATCTTTTTTTTTTATTAGTTTATAATATAAAATACAAAGCTACAAAAGAAAATACTGGGAAAGTAAAGGAAGGAGAACTTTCAGCTCCCCTTTGGTGCAGTAGAATAAGATAATAGCATCAAATCTCAACTTTTTACTTTAGTTTACTAGTGATGTAAACTAGCCATTTCTATAACAATAAACCTATCCAATTGGTAAAACCCAAAACCAATGTTTTATTTTTTTTCCACCTCAAGCACAAAGTCCAGAAGTGGCTTCCCAGTAGAAACAAAATTGTGTTCTTTTTCTTTAATCAAAGCACTTGATTGACTCCATCAATTCATCCAGTAACTCCATCGTTTTGCAGCCATTCATCCATTGTGGGAATCAAAGTGTCCTTCCATTTGTGGTCATAAAGTAGTCTTGCTGCCGTCAACATATATAAGATCAATGTTCCATTCCCCTCCCCCCCCCGAAGTCTTTATCCATTAAACCAGTGGTTCTCAACCTTTTTAATGCCGCGACCCCCAACCAGTCGTAAGTCGAGGACTAAACCGGTCGTAAGTCGAGGACTAAACCAGTCGTAAGTCGAGGACTAAACCGGTCATAAGTCGAGGACTACCCAAGCGGTCGTAAGTCGAGGACTTTCCCTGCCTGGGAGCGCCGCGCATGCGTGGTTCCGCCCCCTGTGCCGGCCGAGGCGTAGCTGGCAAGCGGCAGAGACGGTAGAGACGGTAGCAGAGACGGAGCAGGCCGACCACCAGCTGGCCCAGCCCAAGGGAGGTAAGACATCCGCCGGAAAAGAGGAAAAAAATGGCGGACAAAAAAAATGGCAGACAGCCTTGCTTGGCGACCCCCGTGAAATGGTCGATCGACCCCAAATGGGGTCGCAACCCATAGGTTGAGAACCGCTGCATTAAACCCAAAAGAAAAGTTTCTGGTTTTATCTTTATATTCACTTTGAGAATCTTCTGTATTAAGATGTGAATCTTATTCCAGTATTTTTTTGCTTTGTCATGATGGAGGTAAGGCTTTGTTGTTAGGCTTTCAATATGTCCACCTCGGATAGGTGTCGCTTCCTGGCTGTAAAGATGTCATCACCTCTAGCTCTAGTTTATCTCTTTGGGGGGTTCATAGCAGGCTTTTGTGTACATTTTGGAAATACACTAAACAGCCTCCACACTAAACATCTTAGTTGTTCAACTCAAACGAGATGAATGGCCTTCACCACATGTTCTGGTAGCAACATTCGTCCACACTTCACACAATACAGGTAGTCCTCGACTTACGATCACAACTGAGCCCAAATTGCTGTTGCTAAGTGAGACAGCAGTTTAAGTGATTTTTGCTCCATTTTGCGAACTTTCTTGCCACAGTTGTTAAGTGAATCACTGCAATTGTTAAGTTAGTAACATGGTTGTTAAGTGAATCTGGCTTCCCCATTGACTTTGCTTGTCAGGAGGTTGCAAAAGGTGATCACGTGATCCCGAGACACTGCAACAGTCATAAATATGAACCAGTTGCCAAGTGTCTGAATTTTGATCATGTGACCATTGGGATGCTGCAATGGTTGTAAGGGTGAAAAATTGTTCTGTCCCAGCCTACGTGAGTCCTTGTTAAGCTCACAAGGAGAACCCCCTCTTCCAACAAGCAGGCTGGAACCACTCCCCTTTTATTATTCACCAATCCCCTTTTATTATTCACCAATCCCCTTTTATTATTCACAGACCTGAATCAATGTCCAAGGCAAACACAGTTCACAGAAACTCGATCCTCAACATGAACGGTTGCTTCGGCAACCAGCACCTCCCACACCTTCCCTTTTATTATTCAGCCAAGGCATGGCTTCCTAATACCTTCTCCTTTGCCTTTGGAGCCGCCCCATTACATTCCTCTGCCCTACTCTCTTTTCTTGTTGGTGTTTTCATGCATCCTGGATATCTCCCATCTGTGGTTCATCACTGTCCAACTCAGACTCCCAGCACAGCTGTGTCTCAGCCTGAGCGCAAGTAGAGGGGCCAGGCTCCTCGTCAGACTGTAAATCTTGGAACTCCTCTGATTCCTCAGACTCAGCTGCCGGGTCCACTGGCTGGCGAGGAATCACAACAAAAATGTTCATGAGCCCCTTATTTCAGTGCCATTGTAACTTTTGAATGGTCAATAAATGAACGGTTATAAGTTGAGGACTACCTGTGTAAAAATGAAGGCACATTTGGAAGCAGTACGAGAGTAGCCAGGTATCTTCCCACATCATCTGCTACAGTCTCACCTCTACAATTGGATTGATGTTGTTGTCTTCTCTCCACAGTTGGGCACTGCCGCACTCTTGCTGTGCCCCCGGGGGCGATTGCTACAGGGAAAGGCAACCGTCTTGGTGATCGGATCTCATTCCAGTGTCAGAATAACTTAGACTTGATTGGATCACCCCAACGGGTCTGCATGCTGGATGGCGAATGGTCTGATATGCAGCCAAGTTGTAGAGGTATGCATTTCAAGGACACCTCTTTTCCAGCGGGTTAGGTTAGATGGTCTCCAGTGTCACCACTTGTCCTTTAGCTTCTGCATCCTTTCTTTACATAAAATAGACACATCTCCTTTTCAATTAGGATGCATCTCCTTAGATAGAAGGTCCATACAGAGAGTGGTAAGGACAACTGAGAAGATTATAGGAAGCCTGCTTCCCGTTATTCAGGACACTGCTTATAAGCACTATGCGCTTAGAGCTCAAAGCATTGTTAGATACCCTTCACACCCACTTCACGGTCTGTTTCTGTTGCTCCCCTCTGGAAGGAGGTTTAGAAGTATTTATAGCAGAACGACTAGATTCTGTAACAGCTTTGTTCTCTGAGTCTATGCCATCCATCTGGTAAACTCACAAGATTCGTTTTTCTCGCCATGTATATGTACACATCCAAACTAGATTCGCAAGATTCATTTTTCTCACCATGTATCAAACTGGGTCCAAACTGGGTCCTATATGTGTGTATGTGATTATATGCATAATTGTTTTGGGTCATCTTTATGCAGTGTATATTGGAGGTGGTTACCCTTTGAGAGCTGTATGCAACGAAATCTCATTTTAATATATGCTGATTAGTGTATATCTAAAGTGACAATAAAGTTATTGTTCTGCTCTGTTCTGTTCTAAATTGCCCTTGCTCTTTTTTCACCTTTTTATGTTCCTTATTATATTGCATTGAGTAATAATTGTATAACCTCGGCAATTATTTGTTCTTTCAAAGATAATATCTTTTTTGGGGAAAAAATGTTTTAAATAAGGATTATTTAAAGAGCTGTGGTGGTGCAGTGGTTGGAATGCAGTACTGCAGGCTACTTTTGCTGACTGCCGGCTGCCTGCAGTTCGGCAGTTTGAATCTCACCAGGCTCAAAGTTGACTCAGCCTTCCATCCTTGCGAGGTCGGTAAAATGAGGACCCAGATTGTTGGGGGCAATATGCTGACTCTGTAAACTGCTTAGAGAGGGCTGTAAAGCACTGTGAAGCGGTATATAAGTCTAAGTGCTATTGCTATAATAAGACTAAAAAAAATTACAGGTAGTCCTTGACTAACAATTATTTGTTCAGTGACTGTTCAAAATTACAGTGGTACTAAAAAAAGTGACTTATAATCATTTTTCACACTTAACAACTGTTGCAGCATCCCCATGGTCACGTGATCAAAATTCGGATGCTTGGCAACTGGTTTGTATTTATGACAGTTGTGTTGTCCCAATGTCATGTGGTCATCTTTTGTGATCTTCCGACAAGCAAAATCAGTGGGGGTGCCAGGTTCACTTAGCGTCTTACTAACTTAACAACTGCAGTGATTCACTTAACAACTGTGACAAGAAAGGTTGTAAAGTGGGGCAAAACTCACTTAACAACTGTCTCACTGAGCAACAGAAATTTTGGACTAAATTTTGGATGTAAGTCAAGGACTACCTGTGAAACAAGCACAGAGTACTGTTGATGTGGCTTTTAAAAGAGGGAAATGAATAATCAGCTCTGTCTAGATCTGTATATGCTGTATTATTGGTAAATAAAGTTTTAACTATTGAAAAAAGGGGAAACTTTGGAATATCTTAGTCCAGGTTCAGTGAATGCCAGTTTGAAATAACAGATCCGATCAGAAGCATTTGTTAAAATGGTTTTATACCAATTAAATATAACCCATGCTGCCTGCTCTCTGCTTGAAATCTCAAGAAAGGCTAAAGAATTCTATTTATAGAATAGAAGCCAAATTCAGGTACAGTAAGAATAGAATCTGGAAGTAATAAACTGCAATTCTTGCTCTCTTGCTCTTACGATTTGGCTTCTATTTTATCCCCACTTTTTATCTTCTCTTCCTTATTAGGGTCAATTTTCCTATCATAAAACTAAAGTCTTGGCCCTTTCAGTATCAGAGGTGTCCATAGCAGGAACCATATCAATCCATGTTTAAAGAAAGGGGAAGAAATATTGGACGGAACTTTGATTTCAGGCTTCTGGCTGCCATCTTGACTTTTTTGACCCTCTCTGGGACCATCATCTTCAAAAAATTGCTTCTTAATTGAATCACACAGAGAAACCAAAAAGAAAATGCTACAAAAAATGAAAACAGGAAAAAGAAAAGCAAAACCAATGCATTATATATATAGCTATAGCTAAGGAAATGTTTTTAAAAATTACAGTCACTCTAAAATTTTTCTGCCAGGAATGCCAATGTTTTTTTGCATGGTGAAGACAAGACATTTGGAGATATTTTGTGAATATGTCTAACAAATGGACTCTGGATGTTAATAAAGCAAACCTGAATTAAAGGATTTTAAGACACTTTTTGTTACCATGCTAACCAAGATAGCCCTTGACTTATGACCACAATTGAGCCCAAAACGTCTGTTGCTAAATGAGGCAATTGCTAGGTGAATTTTGCCCCATTTTACGACCTTTCTTGCCACAGTTGTTAAGTGAATCACTACAGTTGTTAAGTTAGTGACAGGGTTGTTAAGTGAATCTGGCTTCTCCATTGACTTTGCCTGTCAGAAGGTCACAAAATGTGATCACATGATTCAGGAACACCACAACAATCATAGATATGAACCAATTGCCAAGTGTCTGACTTTTGATCCCATGCCCATGGGGATGCTGCAATGGTCGTAAGTGTGAAAAACAGTCATAAGTCACTTTTTTTCAGTGCCGTTACAACTTCGAATGGTCACTAAATGAACTGTTGTAAGTCAAGGACTACCCGTGTTCAGCCAATGCTTTTTTCTGATGTTTTGAAATAACCTGTTAAATAAAGATGTATTTGTATTTCCAGTATTTGAGAATAGCAATATTGCAGGGGTTTAGTAAAAAAAAAAATGAATTCCTTTCTTATGTTGGAAAGATGGAAAGATTAATGGTCAGATTAATTATAAAATATTGTTCAGAGGAATCTCATCAATCAATCTGTCAATCAGAGTAGAGCTGGAAGGGACCTTAGAGGTCTTCTAGTCCAACCTCCTGATCAAGCAGGAGATCCTATACCATTTCAAACAGGTGACTGTCCAGTCTCTTCTTAAAAACCTCCAGTGTTGGAGCACCCAACACTGTTCTGAAGGCAAGCTGTTCCACTGGTTAATTGTCCTCACTGTTAGCAAGTTTCTCCTTAATTCCAGGTTGCTTCTCTCCTTGATTAGTTTCCATCCATTGTTTCTTGTCTTGCCCTCTGGTGCTTTGGAGAATAAGTTGACCTTCTCTTCTTTGTGAAGCCCTCTCAAATACTGGAATCAATGTCTTCTTCTCTTTCGCAATAACACAAGATGATCCCCTTTTCTCATCCTCACAGCCAGTTATTCTTATGACCGAGCTGAAGATGTTAAAGCTGAATTTGGGGCCTCGTTGACGGATGTTCTGAGTGAAGTATCCACTTTCGAGGTGGACCCTTCTGGGACAGTTCAAAGTGAGTCTTTTTTCTCTCCAGAGCAGCTAGTCTAATGGGTCTACCAGTTAAAAGTGGCAGACAGAAATTTGTGGTTTCAGACTTGCGAAATACTATTAATGTAGCCTTATAATAAAGTAGTTTTCACTCACCTAGTTGAGTTTCCTGTCTGGTTACCTGGGAAGGCCAACATAACATGATTAGTAGGCATTAGTAGCTACTAATGGCTAGTAAGGAGACCAGGATTTTCAGCCTTGGTAACTAGGATATATGGACTTCAACAGTCTGAGAATTCTGGAAATGGAAATTCTCAAGTATCAAACAGTGAGAAACAATGTTATAAATGGTAGTTCCAACATGATCTTCACAAAATTAGTTTTGGAGGATACTATGGCACTTAAAGAGGGCCCATTCAGTATTGATTAGGAACTATATGTAGTTTTATTCTGAATTAATTAAATGATAGATGCAGGGGAGATCTCCAGCGGGACTGAAGCAAGCAATGAGTCACAGGCGCTTGCAGAATCATATTCTAAGGTTGAGAAACACACAAAATGGTGATGCTGTGGATATTCATCAGGTCAATTTTATGATACATTTTGTACAAGCAAATCCTATGGCTTTGCCTTTGGGCTGTCCATTTTTTTGTGGCTTTAGAATCACTTTCAGCTTCTTTGAGGTCTCCTAGGTTATAGAAGGGGAAAAAGAAAAAGAAGTATCTGGTATCAGTGGAAGCAAGTTCTTTTGCTTAGGATGGGAAATAACAATTTCTTTCTTCTCCTCATTAGCTCCATCTCTAGGCCGAAGACTTATATTGACCAAAGATAGCTTCCTCTATGTTTACTTCCTGTTGGATGCTTCCCACAGCGTTACAGAACCTAACTTTTCTATCTTTAAAGATGCTGTAAGCCAAATCATCATCAGGGTAAGTTTCTGTAGATATAAAGTTGGATAAAGAATTGGGAGGTGGATGTAGGAGATGATCAGGCTGAGCCCGAGGGAGGGGTCAAACACATAATCAGTCTGAGTCCAGCCCACCTTGAATTCCTTATCTACCGCCAAATCGCTTTGACTGTTAGTAGTTCAGATTCTTATAGAGAGCTTAAGCTTACAATAAATCTTTATTTCCATTTGAATTGCCTGGATCTCCTGATTTCCCTGGTGCTTGACAGCGGTGGTGTTAGCAACAGTGCTGGTGACTATTGACATAAGGACATGTTTGCGCTGCAAATATAAACTAATTTGAACTTTAACAAGGTCTAACCCAGGTTAACCATACCATAAGCAACCAAATCAGAGTGGGTACAAAATTAAATCCCCAAAATATGGAAGTGAGGAAGCAAATCTTCACCAAGACTGAAGTATATGAGTAGGTTACGTAGGTTTATTTATTTATTTATCAACCTGCATGCTCCCTCCACTGATAAATGTCCCCTCCACTAGGTACCAGGAAAAAAAAAACTACAGGAAACCTAACGCTCCTTTGATTGAGATTGGCTATAATAACTGAATTTTACAAGTCTGATTGTCCCCATTCTTCTTATAGTCCATTGAATTAGGGAGCCATCTGCCTTCTGAATGTTATCTTGTTACTCTGGACTTCAATAATGCTTCAGCCCTTTTGCCTACATGACAAATTCTGCATATCTCTGTCAAGACCATCTTCCTTACACCCTGCACAAAGAGGTTCCAGGAAGCTTAACCTATAGCAGTGGTGGCGAACCTATGGCACGGGTGCCAGAGGCGGCACTCAGAGCCCTCTCTATGGGCACGCGCGCCGTCGCCCCAGTCCTAGGCCTTCAGCTGGGTTTTATAAAACCTTTTCACTTTAGGCCTCCGCCGCCATGTGCAAAAAAAAAAAGGTTCAATCAATCAGTCAATTTCAACTTCTTGCGGGAAAAAATAAGATCTTGCAAAGTTGGAATTGATTGATTGAACTTTTTAGTCCCACCCAGTCTGCCGTTACCACCGCAGCCACGCCCACCCAATTGGCCACACCCACCCAACTGGCCATGCCCACCCACTTGGCCACGCCCACTCGGCACCCGACGATGCATGAGTGGGTTTTAGGTTGCAGTTTGGGCACTCGGTCTCTAAAAGGTTCGCCATCACTGACCTATAGAGTTAATACATCAATTAAGAATAACAGAAGAATAGTTATGTTCCCTACCAATCACCATCAGAAACATGGTTCCATTCTACTCTAGGGCATTTACTCTTCTCTTATGGAAGACCAACAGTATTGAGGCAATAACTAGTCAGTTAGAATAGAAGAAGCTTCTTGGATGAGAAGCAAAATGTTTTCAAAGAAAAAAAAACCAAGAAAGTCCAGTTGCCTTGACCACCATTACCTGAATGATTGAGAATCTCCATAGATTGAGGCAATATAACGCCGTTCCATAGGGCAGGCACAACTGCCAAGAAGCACATCCCTTGAAATTCAAAATGAGTGTGGTTTACAGCTGGGACCCAGATGTTATTGATCAGACAGAAGCAATACAGGAGAAAGAGGGTCCTGTAGATAAGCCACTTTTCCCTGACTGCATTCCTACAGTGATCATTCCTTCCCTAGCAGCATGGAGAATTGACCTAGAAGATAAATATCTGTAGGTACCAACAGAAAGTTTTAGCTCATTGCTGGGATGTGATTTTTATGGGGATCAGAGCAAGAAAAGAAAAGTTAATCCTCCGATCTCTGTAGGGCCTTTTGCTGGAGGGATTTAGGGGGAGCACAAGGATGTTGTAATTTCTTTATTTGATTGTTGTGAGCCACTAGGGTTGTTCAGAGTCAGGCGGAACACATTTAATATTATTACAGTTGGTCATACAGTCAGCTAGATGTTTAGACTGGATTTGGCATTTTTATTCATCTATCGAGTTCTTCCCAAGGACCTGGGATAGGCAAATGTTGTTGTTTGATAATGTTAAAAGTATCATTTGCAGGACATAAGCTGTTCCAAGTAAGATAAGCCTCGACTTACAACAATTCGTTTAGTGAATGTTCAAAGTTACAATGGCGCCTGTTACTGTTGGTACTAATAGAGTTAATTAACAGAACTAATAGTGAACAACGCAATGCCACTTTCCTCATTTTGCCAGAAACATTTGAGTCTGCAAATTCCTCTGGCTCATTACATACTTCAGTCCCATTTTATTTATTAGATTTTTTTATCCTGCCTTTATTACTTTGAAAACTTCCCCTGCACTTGGATTTTAATTGATTCAGAACAGAGCTCTTTTACTTCCACGATGCCCTCCAAAATTAGGTTTTAAGAAGTCACTGAAGATAATAATAACAACAACAACAATAATAATAAAGTTGAAAGGGACCTTGGAGGTCATCTAGTCCAACCCCCTGCTCAGGCAGGAAACCCTATACCATTTCAGACAAATGGCTGTCCAGTCTCTTCTTAAAAACTTCCAGTGTTGGAGCATTCACCGCTTCTACAGGCAGGTTGTTTCACTGGTTGATTGTTCTAACTGTCATATTGAAACTACCATTTGTAGCAGAACAATTAATCAGTGGAACAACCTGCCTCCAGAAGTTGTGAATGCTCCAACACTGGAAGTTTTTAAGAAGAGACTGGACAGCCATTTGTCCGAAATGGTATAGGGTTTCCTGCCTGAGCAGGGGGTTGGACTAGATGACCTCCAAGATCCCTTCCAACTTTTTATTATTATTATTATTATTATTATTATTATTATTATTATTATTATTATTATTATTATTATTATTATTATTATTATTATTATTATTATTATTATATTACCTTGGCAACTCCCAAGGACTTCAACTCCCAGAATTCCCCAGCCAGAAGTGTTTATAGATTCCTTTGAGGGGTGATCACTCTTGTTCAATTATTGTCAGTTTGCAGTCCAGCCACCTTGAATAGGGAGAAGTGGATTAAAAGCTGGTTTTGAAATAGGGCTGGGTCGTCAAAGCAAAACAAGGGCTTCCACTCTTGCGTATTCAGCTGCTGGTGTGTTGTTGAGAGGATTTTTTAAGAACAATGCAAAGGATTGCTGACCTCCAGGTTATCAACCTATCAGTGACTGCAATCCTTAATATCACACACAAACAAGGACAGCTGACCCTATTCCTTTGAGTAAATATTTAAAAGATCCTGCTTTTGTTGGACGGAAAAGTCTGTGTCATTCAACTTCAACAGAAAAAGGCAATGATTTTCTAGATCAGTGGTTCTCAACCTGTGGGTCGGGACCCCATTTGGGGTCGATCGACCATTTCACGGGGGTCGCCAAGCAAGGCTGTCCGCCATTTTTTTTGTCCGCCATTTTTTCCCCCTTTTCCGGCGGGTGCCTTACCTCCCTTGGGCTGGGCCAGCTGGTGGTCGGCCTGCTCCGTCTCTGCCGCTTGCCAGCTACGCCTCGGCCGGCGCAGGGGGCGGAACCACGCATGCTGCGCTCCCGGGCAGGGAAAGTCCTCGACTTACAACCGGTTGGGTAGTCCTCGACTTACGACCGGTTTAGTCCTCGACTTACGACCGGTTGGGGTCGCGGTATTAAAAAGGTTGAGAACCACTGTTCTAGATTTTGTTGAAAAAATGAGCTCTTTGCAGCATTCGGCCCTTTAATAATTGTGGCCTAACGCTGGTTACTTCACTGTAAAATAGTGAAAAGAAAAGAAGCCATTACCAAAATGCAAAGTTGTCATAAAATGTGGTTCACTGTGATTGTGGTTTACCGCAAACAGGCCTGGTTAGCGAGTACCCAAAGTGCGGTCATGTGACCTGGGGGAGGGCTGACCGTCAGAACTTTGAATCCAGGTCGTAACTCCCCTCCCCCCCGGGCAGGTTCGTTGGAACTTTGAACGGTTGCTAAGCAACCTGTTGTAAGTCGAGGACTACTTATATTGTATATTCCTGATCAATTTGATCTACCTTGACATTGAGCAGAACTGGATCCTGCTTCACATCAACTGAAGGACCATTGTGGGATATTTTTTTTAATTTATTTTTAGTTTATTTACTTGTATCCTCCCTTCATTACTTTTACAAATAACTCATAACGGCGAACATATCCAACGCACATATCCAACACACTTTCCTCTTCTTATTTTCCCCACAACCACAACCCTGTGAAGTGGGGTTGGGCTCAGAGAGAGACACTAACAGGCCCAAAGTCACCCAGCTGGCTTTTATGGCTAAGGCAGGACTAGAACTCACAGTCTCCCACTTTCTAGCCTGGTGCATTAGACCAAACTGGCTCTCAAGTATGCCTCAAATTTTTTTTTTGCCAAACATTAAAATGAAATACTTTTTTTTTTTAATTAAAAATTTTTATTAATTTTTTCAAATAAGATATGAACAAATGATACAAATATGGTGCATTTCATTAGAAAAACAAACACATAAAAAGCCTACTCATTAGGTATTCCGAAATAATCGGCGTTCCCCCCCCTGCATCCACACTCCCTCCACCTTCCTACCTACTTCCCTCTTCCTTCCTCCCCCTCTTGACCACCACCTCTCCTCTTTCCTCCTTCCCAACTATCCTACACATCCCATCACCTTCTTTTCCACCACCTCGGATGCAGTTTAGGGGTACTAGCCGATCATCTCCTCTTCTTAAAAACAAACGTTTACATTACATTTATAAATACACCATTTTTTTTTATAATTCTACCCCTTCATCCCCTCCCCCCCTCCCCCCGGACTTCCCAGAACTGAGTACAGGGATAAATACATAACATCCCAAGTCTAAATTAAGCTATCCATTCATAATACAAACAAAATTTAACATACTTTAACTCTAACATACAATAATAAACTTAAAAATAAAAAATATATATAAATTATATTAAATATATAGAAAATATTAGAAAAAAAGATATTTATTCAAAAGCTATATGATAATTAATCACTTCATACTTTCTCTTCATATAAAAATGAAATAATTTGATAGAAAAATATCATATGGAAAAAGGTTCTTTGATGGTATAGAAAACGACCTATTTGTTGGATGGTCTCCAAAATGTAATCCTGGTTTGTTTGTTTTTTGTTTGTGTGTTTTGGCTTTTTTTTTGCTCTTCAGATTTCTAGCTTTGATGTTCCGATCAAGTTCTCAGTCATATCTTATGCCAGCCAGCCCAAGACAGTGGTCGACATTGGCGATGATGACGCTGAAGATGCTGATATGGTGCTTGAGATGATGGAAAATAATATGAATTACAAAGGTAGATATTTAGACCGGTTGGCATGTCGTATTTCTTTCCCAATTATCTCTGTACGTTGCCCAGAGTTGTTGTGAGTTGGGTGGCTTTATAAATTTGATAGATCCCTTATTTTGATTCAAATATTTATACACTGCTTCTCCTCATTGGCGCCTGAGAGGGGGGGAGGAGTGGTCAAAACAGACAAGTTTGTGATACAAGCCCCATGTGGTTGTGTCACTGTATAGAGAGCCTCTCCCCCTTACGCACAAATTTATCTCATGCACATATACAGATAGTCCTTGACTTACAACCATAACTGAGCCCAAAATTTCTGTTGCTAAGTGAGACATTTGTTAAAGTGGATTTTGCCCCATTTTACGGCCTTCCTTGCCGCAGTTGTTAAGTGAATCACTGCACTTGTTAAGTTAATAATATGGTTATTAAGTGAATCTGGCTTCCCCATTGACTTTGCTTGTCAGAAAGTCTCAATAGATGATCACGTGACCCTGGGACGCTGCAACGGTCATAAATACGAACCGGTTGCCAAGCATCCGAATTCTGATCATGTGACCATGGGGATGCTGCAATGGTGTGTTTGCAGGAGCAGGAGGCAAGCCACAGCATTGATTGGCTGCTGGGAGGTGCAGCTATTTGTCCCGTGCACCAAATCACTTGGGGTAGAAATGTGCCTTGGGGAATCGGGCAGATGAGCTGAGGGTGGAGGGATGGGGGAGGGTCAGTGGAGGATGAACGCCCGTTGTGAATCAGCTGTGGTGGGTGGCTAGGAATGAAATGGGCAAGGCCAAGGGTCAGCGCCTAAATGTCCTAGCACCTAGGTCCTTCCCAATGTTTGATGTTTGATGGTTATTATTATGGATCGTACCACAGTCAACCTGATGTTTAGATTGGATGTGGCATTTTTACCCACCTATCGAGTCCTTCCCAAGGCGTTTGATGGTGTAAGCCAGACATGTCAAACACAAGGTCCGGTGGTCGGATGCGGCCCGCGAAGTGGTTTCATGTGGCCCGCGAAGCCATCCTGGAAACAATGAGGGAACGCCCCCCCTTGCCTTGGCCCTGGCCCAGACTGGCCGGGAGCCAATGTACAATTTTTGGTGGCCATCAGTCTTAGCTCCACAAGGCCATCTGGAAACAGCGAGGAACCAGCCCCTGCCGCGTCGGCCCCACCCCCTAGGTGCAGGTTGGGGAGGTGTCACCCTCTGTGAGGAATGAAGAAAGGCACCATCGCGCTGGCCACTTCCAGGCGATGGTGCATTTCTTCATTCCTCACGAAGGGTGACACCTCCCCAGCTGCGTTTCTTGCCTGTTTTTCTTCCTCCCTCATCTCAAATATTTTCCCACCACTCTGTACTTAGGAAAGAAGGAAAAGAGAGGGAGGGTCTGAGGGAAGTCCTATCTTAGTCCTGCCCTGCTGCCCTT